ATCGCAGCGCGATCACCGGCAACTATGTTAATTTACATCACGTGCTATCGCGCAATGACACCATACGGCCATGGCACTCCCAGATTATCGAATTATCGAGTCAATTAATAAAATACTAATATGGTGTAATGGTGGTAGTTTCTCTTTGGAGGTCGAATCCGAATTATTAAACCTTCGTTCCAGTCAATTCATACATTTTAATGCAACCCAGATATGCGCGCACTATAACGTCTACTTGTGCCTTTATTTCACGATGATAGTGTCTTTAATGGGACGATAATACGCATCGAGGATTTCCCGGCGATTTTTCTATTTCCTAATTCGATGACAAGTGTGGCATATAGAATCCTGATAAATATTATATTTAACAAATTTAATCATTGGAAACATTGAAATCGTCTAATTTGTAAATATTCGTAATTTAATGTACTGCAAAATAATTTCTATATGGATAATTCTAATTACAAATTCAATTATAAATAACAGGATTAATACGATGTCCAGCATGAATAATTCTAATGTTATTAAAAATAACCATTTTCTACTTTAATTTATCTTAATCTTTTCTGTAAAAGTTACAAGAAGTATTTTGTATAATTTTTTTAAATATAATTTTCTCTTTTTGTGATAGGGACCTGTTTTACCATTGAGACTGTAAGAGTTCCCGACATCTTCCGCTAGAAGCACATTTGGCGCACTTTCACGAGCGCATAATTAGATGTGCTTTGCAAATAATATAATAGTGTATTTTATTCGAATAGTGTGTATTTATATAATTTTTGTGTCTCCGGAATTTTTGGTATAAAATACTGCATTGTGTGCGCGTAATATAATTCGCAATTGTTTACAATGTTAGAATAAAAACTGCTAGTTGATTATTATGTGTATATTAACCTCAATAGTCGGCGATATTTTATTTCTGTATGCGATTAATTGGACATAAATAGCACAAAGTGAGTGTTTTGAAAGGATCTATCTATTATTTATATTTATTTGTAGTAAGTGTATCTGATAATAAATTGCACTTTTTGTGCATAATGATATTCTATGAAATTATCATAACCTATATTCTATATACTTACACTATTTAGTTTTCTTGATATTATGAAGTTTATAATAATATGGGATGAAAATGGAACATTTTTGTAATTTTTATGTCCAGGCTGCTCAATTATGAATCCTGATATTCAGGAAAAGATTTTCAAGTTTGAAACGTTTGTCAATGATGTGTTGAAGAAGGATCTTGCTATATTAGAGCAGAAACTCGATACTAAGAATGGAGAAATTGCAGAGTTTCTTCAGTTAAAGGGTATGATAACTACCATTCAAAACAATGGCTTTGATAAAAGTGGCTTTAAAACTCAAGTAGATATTGGACAAGGTTTCTTTATTGAAGCACACATTCCCGATGCTTCTACAATTCTATTGGATATTGGTTTAGGGCATTATATGGAATTTTCTTTACACGATGCTCTAGCTGTTATCAATGTTCGAATTAAACTACTGGAACAGCAAATTAAACATTTCCATAAAGAGATAGCCAATACAAACGCTCATATCAAACTAATTCTCCTAGGCATTAGAGAATTGCAAGGGTTTGATAACTGAGTACAAAGCATATTTTGTATTGTGTAATTTTATGATCTTTCATGTATACATATTTCTCTACTAATTTTTGTACATATTGAAGCTTTAAATAAATGTCAAACGACATTGAAACACTTATTTTATTTTTTGAAACTCTTCATTTCCAAGATCGATGACGTTAGTCAATCACAGCGAGGCTAGTTTGCATAACGTATTCGCGCATTTAATCCAATGCAAATCGTTCGCTATGTCCCATCAACTTCGTACCCCGAATACCACTCTTTTGTTTCCTTGTTAAGCGCAATTGCGTAAATTTGCGAGGACCTTGTGCCTCGCTTATATATGATAGGGGCCAATCGCGAGCGAATCAGTACGTTTTTCGCTTCAACTTTGTTTTCTCATTTCACTACGTTTTTTGGCGTGAAGCGTTCATTTTAATGTCTGATTGGCGGAGCACACCATGCGTCGAAAGGCACAAAGAATTTCTCGAGAATCTTATCACAACCTTGATCGATTGCACCTTCGAAAGTGTGTCCCGTGAAAATCCTGTGTTGAGATGGAGAGAACCGGGTCATCTGCGGGATATTATAAATCTTAATTTGCAGGAAGAGCCCCGTAATCAAGATTGCCTTCTGGAGGTCGCGACTAAGGTTTTTAAGTATAGCGTTAAGACAGGCCATCCTTATTTTATGAATCAGTTATTTTCTGGGTGAGATATCGATAAGAGCATAAGTCTCGTTTCGAATAGAAATCATTTTAAAAATTATTTATAATTTGCAAAGAATTGGATAATTTGATCAAATGCTTATGAAACGTATATTCTAACGTCTGAAATTCTTTAATAGTACATATTATTATTTGTATTATTTTAGATCTGAAAAATTTATCAGATCTGAATAAACAAAATCTAGTACCTTTTATAAAGTGTTCAATTATATTACATTTATGAAATTTTCTTTTCTCCTAATAAAAGTTCAAGTGCAAATAATAAATTAATTTTTAGTATTAATTAAAATCTGTGCCTTTTGTATATTAAGACAACAAGTGTATATTATGGTCAATGATTTTTAAGTATATCTACTTCCATATTGCATGTATGTTAACGATACTTTGAATTTTACTTTTAATATTCGCAAAAGCACGTAACAAATCGATGTGTAAAATAATTTTATGTATTTGAACATTAATATTACGATTTGTTTTATTTCTTATAAAATGTGATTAAGACTTCGAATGACATTTTTTGCTAAGGTTTAATTATTAACATGAACAATTAAAAAATTTTGAACGTAACTTTGTTACTTGCTGTTGAAATTAGAAAATGTAATGTATACGCGTTATTGGATAAAAATTGATTTAGATTGGATCCATACGGTTTAGCCGGACAATGGCTCACAGACGCGTTGAACTGTTCAGTGTATACTTACGAGGTGGCACCGGTCTTGACATTAATGGAAAGCACCGTGATTACAAAATTATTAAGCATGTTTTACAAGGACGAAAATGGTACTACTATCGGAGACGGTCTTTTCTGTCCAGGAGGTTCCTTCGCTAACGGTACCGCCATTAACTTAGCTCGATTTTGGTTCAGGAAGAAAGTTCAATATGTGAGTAATTATTACCTTAATAAACAGCGCTGATATCACATCGTTTGGTTAATGTAGCAATAAAACCATATTCTAAATTATTTAACAGTATTGCCTGATAATAACCGTGGTATCCATTGGAGATGCAGATTATTGGTCATAAGATTGTATGATAAGGCGGAATAAATGGAACAGGTTTTTTCACGTCCGTGATAGTCACTAATTTTGTAATAATAGTTCTTAAAAATTATAATTTTTTTGTACAAAGTGGAAGATGTACAGAGTGTCTCAATAATTCTGCTACAAAACCATATCTCCGTTACTTGCAATGATGAATTAATTAGTTGGTTCGAAGAGAACACGTTTGCTGATGCGAGACATTCTTTTTCATCATCATATTCTTCATTAAGTATTATGTATTTATGTTTGCAAATGCTTAATTTAACAAATACTTTAATCTTATAAAGTTTTGCATATGAGAGACAAGGAAAGATACTGAGTAGTTTATTATGTCTCGCTGTCTTTCAAATTTGGTGAAATTAGAACTAAAATAACTTTTATAGTAAGCATTTCAGACACAGGTACCTTAATCTTCTTGTAATACAGGGAATACAAAAAACGCGGAATATAAAATATAGAGAATACAAAAACGAGACACCCTGTATATGTATTTTTATCTTCGACGTTTCATTTATTTTATATAATTTAGAATTTTTATCTTCAATACATGTAAGCTATAACAACGTTTAATAATTATAATTAATGGCTTTAATGCAATAAAAAATAACATAAAGTACGTATTCTGAAATTTTTTTACGTATTTATGAAGCTTTGTAACTAACATTTCGGATTTAATATCTATACTCTGTAATAACTAATATTCATTATTTTTTTGTGTGTTTTAGAACAAAAATATACCATCTATGAAGCTAGTGCTTTTTACGTCCGAAGACGCGCATTACTCGATTTCAAAGTGGGGAAACGTTTGCGATATAGAAGTTGTTCTCATAAAGACTGATGATTATGGCAGAATGGATGTCAGCGATTTGAGATTTAATATATTGGAGGTACAAAAAAAGAGAAATTATCCATTTTGCGTTACTGCTACTGCAGGTTCGTTGAACGATAATGTAACAGAGATATGTCATATAAATACACGGGTTCAATCGCTAATAAGTATGTTTATTTTTAGGAACGACGGTTTTGGGCGCGTTCGATCCATTGATCGAGATTGCAGATACTTGCCAGGAATTCGGTATGTGGTTACATGTAGATGCAGCCTGGGGAGGCGGTTTGGTATTTAGCAAAAAGCACAATGTACTTTTAAGAGGAATACAAAGAGCAGATTCTATTCTATTTAATCCTCACAAACTGTTGGCCGTTCCTCAACAATGCTCCTTACTTTTGTCTAAACACAAAAGCATTTTTAAGGAAGCTCACTCTAAAGAGGCTCCTTATCTTTTTCAAAAAGATAAATTTTATTCTAGAGATCTAGATGTTGGGGATAAGTATTTGCAGTGTGGGCGCAGACCAGATGTGTTGAAATTTTGGTTCATGTGGCAGGCTAAGGTAATTCAGGAATGAAATATTTGGTTTAACTTATCTTTGTTTTTATAAAATCATTGAGTTTATATCTAGTAGATAATTTCTGTTCAGAGATACTCTTTCTTCGAACTCCATGCAAGGTTTCACATGCACCGAACACAACATAAGTCCTACTTGTATGATACATAGGTACCTGTTCTTCCCTTATTAATCTTTAAGTGTTAACCACTTATGCAAATATGTGAAAAACTAGCCTTGGTAGCACTTTTTCCCCCGATCTTCCTATAATTGTGCATCTTGTACTTTGTGGTTTAAGCAAGTGCTACGATGCACTCCGTATGAGATAAGGGTCTGTATGCTATGTTTCAAGTGTTTACCAGTATACTTGTGCATATATTAACTTCCCCTGTTAGGAACGAAGAATGTTCATATTGCATCTATCTCAGTGCATTTTCAAGATCATAAAAGAATCTCCTGAAATTCTCAAGAGAATCTGACGATAGCAGTGGATTTAGATGAGTAACTTTCAAAGTTTTCATCCCTCATTCACACATATACATATTATAATATTCTTAATATACATATATATATGTATATTAAAGATTTGAATAATAAATTATTAAATCATAATACTGATGTTTGATAAATGCTTAACAAGTAGCATTCCAATCTGTATTGTAATTCAGATTTTATTCTCAGTGATTCTATCAAATTTAACATGTCTTAATTGAATCACAGATAAGACTAAGACAGAATGTTACTATAGTTTAGTGTAACAGAGTTTTGACTACTAGTATTTTGTACTTATTCACAAATGAAGTTGTTTTACTGACTCCTATGACATTCACCAACATACATGTCAATAGAAAAACTAACGTGTATCTATACTCTCGTTTCTTCTTTGTTGGAAACACGTAAAAATTTTATTATTATTTTTTATTTGTTAATAGAATATTATTAATGATAATTACTAGAAAATATATATTTTATTTCGTTAGTTATTTCGAGATATGTGTATAGTTCCTTCTTTTGACACGCCACAAGAATTAAATGAATTGTGATTCATCAATACATCTATGTAATTATCAGAAATTTATTAGTAATAATACGAATTTGTTATTAGTAGTAGTTACGTTATGGTATTAGTAGTTACGTATTAATAGTAGTTATGGTTTAAAAGTACCATGCTTAAGAAACATTAATGTTTTCTAATATAATCAAAGAAGAAAAGTTTAATAACTCAGTAATTCTTACTTTTTTGATATTTTTTATATTATATAAAGTCGAAATAATTTCTGTCATCATTTATTTATTTCTTGAGAATTGAATATATTACAGAACTAATAGGAAATTTGTTTCAGGGTACTTCAGGATTTGAAAAGCATGTCGATCATTTAATGAAACTTTCAGCTCTCTTCAAAGAAGAAGTTGAGAAAAGAGATGGCTTTAAATTAGTGACGGAACCGTGTTTTATAAATGTGTGTTTCTGGTTTATTCCACCATATCTAAGAATTCAGAATTCAGTTAACGATTACAAGAAACGATTAAACGAAGTAAGTTGATTAAATTTTTTATATTTTCATCGTAATATTTAAATACTAAAAAATGGGATGTTTTAGAACGATGAAATATTCAAATATAATGTATAGAAAATTGTTATACATATATACATATTTGTAATACATTTAAACAGTTTTTTAAAATATACTTAATGTTTTAAGAAAGTTTAGAATTACTTTAAACGTGCATTTCATCTAAGTTCTAAACCTTTTTTTATAATATATAAATTAAGTGGCCGACAATAAATAATGTTAACAAACTTTAATTATTTATATAAATTCGTAAAATGAATTGTTTAATTTTACATAGAGTTTGCAAATCACTTTCTACAAAATGGAATTAACACTTTTTTTTATGTATATCGTATTAGTGATATGTTTATAAGAACAGTTAAATTGCAATTATGTTGTATGAGATCATTAAGTACATATTTTGTATTTTTATAAGTTAATTAAAAAGTATGATATCGATGATAGGTACAATAGAAATCTGTACCTTCTATGGTAGATAAGCAGTCTTATCCTTATCAGATAAGAGATAAGAATTTCATTTTATAACAATCATTTCGCTTTTACTAGCAGTTAATAACTGACAACCTAAAAATATGTATGTATCTAATATTGATTACCACTCCTATCGAACAATGTTTATTCTCGAAGATAAATCAATGTATAAAGCTTAAAATATTACAAGGATAATATATCACAAAGATATATTTAATAAAAATTTATTTATTTCAATAGGTTGCACCAAAGTTAAAAGAAAAAATGATCAAAAGGGGTAGTTTGATGATCAATTATCAACCACTGCACGAAAAACCGAATTTCTTCCGTTTTGTTATTCAGAATTCAGGCGTAAATATAGAGGATATTCTTTACGTCTTTGACGAGATGGAAAACCTTGGAGAATCTATGTGATAATTTACGGTATATGCAAAACTCAATGTTATGATCTTTTAAATGGTTTATATATAGTTCTTATTTAATTATATTGCAATTCAAACAAAAGGTTGTGCCGTCATATTTTTATTTCCATTTCACCTGTCAATTTGCATTTCTATAATACGGTTCGCTATAAAGCTAAAAAATTGATTCTTTGTACGCTGTAATTAAAAATGTTGTATTGTGTTTGACAAATATTCCGGCGACAGAACTTTATCAGTTTGCCTCCGAAAGAACTAATGAATTCCAGCCACGAAAATCAATTCGTCTCGGTTAAATAGGCGAAACCTGGTAGCAGGTCGATCTGATTAAGGAAGGGACTGCTACTAAATTTCTAATATCAAGATACGAAGTTAATTGGTGACTGCCTTCGTTGTAGATCGTAGAACAGCGACTTACCGACTAATCCTGATTCAAGTGACAGCATATCGAGAAGCCCTATGTGTATCTATAATACTAAGTTTGTACTATGTGGAGCATACAAACTACTGTTTGCAACCATCGTAGCACAGTTTTTTCGTTTGAAATCAACAGAATCCTTTGACGCTTAATCTTGTCGAAATGGAACGATTATTAGTACTGCAAAACTTTTCTAATGATATTTTCATGTAATGTTGTATAGTATGTCATGTAATGTTTCATGTATAGTAAATGCTTTACTATATCATCTTAGGGAAAGAAATGGACCGGTAATTCCATTAATTCCTTGGCGTACAACATCATTATCGTTTTATTTCAAGTGCGTTTTCATTGTTCATATTTGCGTTTGATTCGCAATAAGCCGTGTTAATGAAATAATGTTTAATTACCAGTATCATTGAATCATACTGGGCAATTTTAGCAAACAGTATAAAATATCTGTATGCATAATTAATTATAAAAGCATGTGCAACGATTAATAGTCATGAAATTTTGCAAAACCGCGGTAACTTATAAATTGTAAGATTAAACGAACTTGTGTTAACATAATACTGACAAAAGCCTATTACACGTGTCATCGCTGGTTCCTTCTTTAATTTATCATTTCATTTCCAAGAAACCATATGATATAACAGAAATAAATTTACCTAATATACGTATAATCGTAATCCATCTTTATCCTTTTACATTACAAATACTACCAACGTTATTAACTTAATATTGTTATTAAAGTATTCATTACGAATGCTTTTTTAAATCATTTGTTTCACATATTCATCTCGCTCTAGATTTACATCCTTTAATTTTAGATTAGCTACAAAACATAAAACTATCGTTATGTTATTATAATTCTAACAAAAGAAAAAAAAAATGTAGGAAAGATTTCTTTGAACCATAACTTCCATATAACTTACTAAATGTTTGTTTAAATTTAGTTCTTTCGTAGTTTCAACATTTTATTTCAATGATCTATTTGTAAGCAATATTTTTTGTTCTACTAGTCTTGAATGCGTTTCTTTATCGTATTAAAATAGGGTGTCCGAGAAACCCTTTGCAGGGAACTGTGCTTGTGTGTTACGTTCCTGTTCCCGAGTCACTGCTAGGGGTGCTTGCCCTGCGGATGAACTTAGACAGTAGGTTGCCGCCACGAAAGACGGTGTTAACGTCGATAGTCAGTCACTATTCGAATCGTTCAGTAACCCGAATGTCAGTCGATATCTTCAAACTCGACGGCCAAGATGGGAAGGCTCTCCCAATTCATGTGCCACAGGTATTGCTTTTTTTCTTTTATTTCTGAAGTCTAATCGACAGTAAAAATTTGTCAAAGCCAGTTACACTTGTCAAAAGTAGTAGTTGTCGAAAATTTCAAATTTATTTCGAGTGAAATAATATCGTATAATTTTGGATAAAAGTTGCGTGCCGATTTTTAAGAAATCAATCGTTCGAACGAAGTGTTATTATTCGGATTATAAGTAAAACGTTGCGAATCGTGGCGAATTTAATTATCGTTGTTGGGACAACAACGTATTTAGTTTTGTATTTATTACTGTGATTTTCGGATATATTTTCATTTTAGAGGAAAGTATAATTCGATATGATTAATTCAATATGGTGATAGCAGTGGTGATAGTAGGTTATTCGATCATTGACATTTAACTACATCAAGTACAATCATATACATACAAATGTATCATCGTACAATACAAAGTCATTACTCTATTTAATGCCTCTAAGCTCGTACTTTTCTTATTTCTGTGATGTTGTTGATTGTTTTTCGATTGATAAACTAGCTCGTAATTTTTTCGTTCTACAGGATTGTACTTGATTTTTCTAATTATTTGTAAGATCGTCTGGGACATTTTCTTTGTTATTTGCAGAAAGTGGGATTCTTAGAAACGTATCGTTACATCATGGAAGATGCAGCAGGTTAGCTTCCTTCGATTTAATTGAAAACATAGAATATTTTAAATACCGTGGGACCTCGTTTGACCGACTTGGCTTGACTCGAGACCAAAGTAACCTGGATATCGCCTGGATATGCTAGAAAATTGCCACGAATGTTCTTCATTTTATGAAATTTCACTAGTATTATAATAAAACACGGTTGTCGTGATTATAGTGACAAAATTTATATATAAAACTTACAAGACATTTATTTTAGACACGTACTTGGCAAAAAATTAGTATATACGGTGTGAATAATTATTTTAAACATATAGCTAATGTTAAAAAATGCCTCCATTAAATATCGAGTAATACTAACGCAATGGATAATTATTTAAATAATTTTGTGACCTTCGCTCAAACGGGGCTCCTTTTTGGTTTGTAATTATTTCTAACTTATTATTAAATGTAGCTGAATAGCGAATGTAGGGTTGAAATCTCAAGTTGATAATTTCAATTTGTTAGATCTGTATTTTATGATATATACATTCTATAATTAAATAGCACTGTATATTATATTTTATAGCCTTTTTGAATCCTCCGTTTTTAGATTCCAGAGTAGCAGATTGGTTCTTAATGGGCAGTCCATTTCCATTGCTAGGAATTATATTTCTTTATCTGCTCTTTGTTCTTCGTTTTGGGCCTTTATTTATGAAAAATCGAAAACCATACAATCTAAATAAGTTTATGATTTGTTATAACATCTCTATGGCCATCGCGAGCGCAACTGTATTTTACGGGGTGAGTTCATCCGAAATAACTTACTATATCACGTTCTATTCATCCGAAATAGTCTAATGTAACAGTTAATTGTTGTTAATTAATAATTTTCATATAATTTGGAACAATAACTTATTCCTTATCGTCGTTATGTTACCATTACTATTCTTCAAACCGATTAATATATTTTTATATTTAAAGCTACTTACTTCGGGCTTCACCACTAAATTCTCTCTCGGATGCGAGACTCATGTCATTTCAAACGACCCTGACTCTTATCGCGTAAGTACCACAGTCATTAAACAAACGCGAATTTCGATATTACGAAAGTTATGTCGTATTTAATAGACGGCTCGATGGGTGTGGAGGCTCTTAATGTTGAAAGTCCTCGAGTTGAGCGACACCGTTATCTTCATTCTCAGAAAAAAATACAACCAAGCGTCTTTTCTTCACGTTTACCATCACACGTCGACCGCTTTCCTTTCGTGGATAGCCTGCAAATTTGTCCCAGGTAAATCTTTAGACATACGCGTAAATTTACCTGTAATTTCAATTTCATACAGATGATTGTGCTCCTTAAATATACGTGTAAAAATTGAAGGGTTCGCGACAAAAGCGATCCTGTCAATGTTGGTTTTTCCTCAAATCTCGTAACAGTAACAAAGTTAGTAATAAAGCAGACGAAGTATTATAAGTAAATTGTATAAATTACGAGTCATCCGACTACTCTATTTGTAAACAAGAAATCTATAATTTGCAATTTGCAACTCGTCAACTCATTATACAGGGTGGTTGGTAACTGGTGGAAAAAAGAAATCGGAAATATAGAATAAAAATTTAAAAAATTAAAAAATTTTAAAAATTAAAAAAATAACGTTAATCGAGACAACGATTTACAGTGAGATCCGTTATAACGAGACGCGATAAAGTGCACGCGTACCGAGCGAAAATTCAAAGTCGATTTTCTCGAAAACAAAGCCTCGAACGAAAAATTTGTATTCTATATTTTCGACTTCTTTTTTCGCCTAGAATCATCCCCTTTTCGCTTGTACCACCAGTTACCAACCACCCTGTATATCGTTAGGTGAGAAATTATTACGCAAGCGTATCTTAATTCTTCTAACTATATATTATTTGTCGATTCTAAAGAAAGCTAACAAATATTACTTCTAGTCATCGTAATTTCTTTATTATCGTTACCACTGTATAATCGCCGATTTCAAAAGATCTCATTATATTTGCAAATACTACGGTTCCCGTAGTTATCTCTCATAGCTTTGTAAATGGTTCGCGCAAACAATTTCATTTCAACTATTACAGCACACCGAGCTACCCGAAAAAGACTCGTATGAGTGGAAATTAAATTGCGCCACGACGTATCAAATTTACCTATTAAGCCGATGCAAAATGGCCATGGTATAAAACACAGAGGAACATGTACGAGCGAATTTCCAACAGTCGTAAATAAAATTCTCCTCTTGCAAAAAATTCATTGCGCGACCATGTAACTTTGTTACAGGCTTCCAACTATTTTCCATCCCTTTCTTCCGAACGTGTTAAACGCTCCTTGTTATTTACAGGCGGCATGTGGACGTTCACGATTATGCCAAACTGCATCGTGCACGTGATTATGTACACCTATTATCTGCTCGCCTGCTTGGGCCCACAAGTGCAAAAGAGGATCGCACCTTGGAAACAATATATTACTGGGTTACAAATGGTACGTTCCCATTTTCTATCTGACTCCGCTATCTGCCATGCTACGTACACATGGCCCGCAATGCATATATCGTCGGCGGTGTTTCGTTGCGCTCGCTGAATTGCCCTGCTGGAAGCGTTATTCGCTCATTTCACCGCGCACCGTCGCGTATCGCGTAATCGCAAAATTACATTCGCTGTCCTGCAGCGAATTTTTTAAACGTGAAATTGCTATTGACGTTCGATGGTCGCGACCGGTTATACGCAACTGGCTAAGTAAATTAATCTATATAAGCGAATAACGCGGTGTAGAAAATCCCGATCCACCGTGGACAATTCGTTGATCGATTGGTGAAACTGTTTGCGAAACTGGTCGATTGGATAATGGTAATAGTATAGAGTTGGCGTCGGTGCGACGGCGAGTCAATGAGAACAGGGGGTGGAATTTATGATGCGTCGTGAAGCTGCGAATCCGTGTCATTCGAGGGATTCGATGTTAGTTAGAATTCTATGATTCGGAATAGTTTTTATGAAAAAGCGCGTTGTATCTCGACCTTATTTGAAATTCTAATTTATATTTCGCTTACGTCGAAGCTGCAAACGATTCTCTATTTTTCTTATTTACGAACGTTACACTTCCTTCGCGTTTCTTTCCTTACATTTTTCCGTACTTTTTCTACTTTTCCCGATCATTACGTCATTATCTTGTCAGAAATCATTTTTTAATCCTTTACTATTTGTTATCCCTCTTGTTATCGTGCATTTATGAAGATAAAGACGTACGTATTAATTGTACGTAGTTGTACCTTAACTCATGCCTTTAATATTTATTAGCCAACTTTTATTCGACTTCCTATATTTCTTCTCTATATATTCTTATTATTATACATTGTATTATAATACAATATTGCATTCTTTTGAAGTAAACTTTGATTAAAATTTTAATGAATATTTAATGTTACCATTGTCACGTATTCTACGTGTTATACACATCTCTAAACACTGCTTAATTATTTAACGCATAAAATTATTATTCACGTCGCGTCGGTATAACGTAAAAACAATTACTTTCAGTGTAATATTTATGCGAGAAACGATATATTCGTTCAGAGATGTATAACAGTCTTAAAAAAAGATTGATCAACCGGTTGAATGGTCGAGAATTCAATATGCTCTAGCCAAAGCAATCGTTATAGTTGCACTGAAATTATTCTTTATATTTTCACTGACGTGCCAAGAATCATAGACGAAATGCATATAGTCATAAAATATAAATGTCAAAAAGGTATACAACGCTTGCAGAGTAAGGAAGTATCGGAAATAAATCACGTTTCTGTGCAAACCTTTTTGTTTTATCTGGAATTCATCTGAATATCACGTAGCATGAGTTTGACGAAAGCAATTTTGTGTAATAGCTCTAACGTTTCATATCACAGATTTTGATTTTTGAATAAAAAAGGCAGGATCATTTCGTAACGAGCAACTCTCTTTGCAAGAATTCCTCTTCGTTTGCTTGTCCATTAAATCAGTTTTTGTAAATGGAATATATGCGAAAATAATGCGACTAAAATGACTGTTTTTTTTCTTTATTAAAGTCTCGAAGAAAATCAGCCACAAGTCATCGTTCGATATGATTGAGATTATCGATCGTTCCGTTTCTTAGTTATCGAGTGATATTTAAAAATGAATTTGATAAATTCACATTTCAATTAAATTTGAGATCGAGTGAATTATTATGCAAATGCATAATTTTATCTACTAACCCTTTTAGTTACAGTAATTCTTTTCAATTATATCAATTTTAAATAAATAATTATGAGTTTTAATTTCCTGCAATTTTCTAATTTCACATCGGGTTCGTTCGCACTTACATTGGAAGATTTTCTTAACCCATTGGGTTGATTTATTCAATAAATTTTATTCCAAATTTATCATGTTCGTTCACGAAGTTTCATCCTCCTGCGGTTTCCTGATAAGGCATCAGTTTCGTCAGCATGTGAGTCTATTTCTAAAGACTTTGTAATAATGCATCCAGTTGGTTTTCTAGTCGTCGATATTTCCAGAGATTTCTATTTCCATCCATTAAATTCGGTGTTCCGTGATTTTGGTCAAATACTTTCGTAATATATTGGCAAACCGTACGAACTGTTTTAGAAAAATGAAATATCTTTGCGCTTTTAAATATTTTAGACCAATTTATTTTGAATACTGCAAGAAGAAGAAGTTATAAACGTTGGATAGGTTCTAAGAATATATCTTTTACTATAGAATTTTAATAGTGGTGCTACCTATACGGTACCGTTAAATCGCAAAAGGTTAAAATATTTTCAGGGTCCTCTTTCACAGTAATTTATTAAGCAATAATATTAGTGAATTGAAGAGTTATAATACAAATTATTCGTTACAGTATTCTATTCTACAATAATTTTACTTCTTAATTTGCAGCTTGTACAATTTCACGTGCTTGATTAATAAAGTCACTATGATACAATTACAATTTATTAATAACTTGTAACTTATGAATTATCAAATTTTGTTAACAGTATTATGTTAGTTGAATCGTACAGGAATTTATAATATCATTATAATATTTTAAAATTCAAAAACTGATTTAATTCTCATTTATTGTTAGTGACGATACTTGTCAAAGATAAAGAGACGACAGCTGTCAGATTTTTCACTGATAACATCATTATTTTCGACGAAGTTGTAAAAAGAAAAATTCCTAGACACCTTAATCGAACAATACCGATAGTCAAATACCGCGTTGTTATCTGTTATCGGCGTGCTCTTAGCTAAAGTGATTGCGCAATTGAAAATTTCATTCGAGTCACCGATTAAACCAGAAATCGTGGAAAAATGGATAAAAAGCTGTTCGAACTCCGTTCGAGTACTTTGGGAAACAATAAAACGCGGCCACGCCTTCGACCACCGAATCTCCATTGTTAAGAGATGCAATATGTTTTCGTGGACGAGAACGAAAAAGAAAAAAACGTAGGTATTCGTTACGAACAGGTTGTCGAACTAGGTATACGTATGTATAGGGTGTATCAAAATAGTTAAGCAAAAATTAGAATACGGAATGTTAGTCGGAAAGAAAATAAGAAATTTTCACATTATAGATTCTAACGTCGATAATTTTGATACCCGAGAAAATTATAATATTCAGCAAGAAGAATATCGCAATTCGAAAACTAATTTAATATTTTTATAAATAGTCGATAATAAAGTACTCATAAAATTCCTATCAGAGTGACAATGTCCTGTCAGAGTAACAAGTATACGAAAAAATAAATAATGTCAGAAAAGAAACACGCTTTTACCGATATATTTTGCAAGAAGATCATTCAGATCCCTTAAAAAATATCGTAGCAAGATTATACAATTGTCATGAAAAATTACAAATTGATCTTAACGAGATCTTAATCGTTCTTATATAGTTCTAACGTTGAACGTTTCTGTCCAACATTTTTGACGTAACCTGTATGTATGTTTCGCGTTTAGTCCGTATATTGGCTCGCATTTGGCTTGCCTAACTCGATAACCGGGTTTTTGCACTGGGAGTTGAAAGGGTTGTAAGTGCCCGATGTGGAATTACACGTGTACTGGCGGTGATTCGATTTGCGTTTCGAGTCCCGGTAGGAAACAACGGGTTAGGCGCACGGGAAAAGGGGCGACTGTTGGGGCTTTTTAATTAAATAATCCGTTGGTGAGCAACTTTTATTTCTCCGCGAGATATCTACACAACGATTTATCGGGTTACGCGGTCATTTAATTTCCAGTTGAAAACGTTTCATGCTGCGACGAGTGGAACTGCAGCTACGAATAAAGACAGACTAGAGTGTCATTTTACTTACAACACGATGAGAGGCCTTATTAAGCTTTGTCGTGCATGAACAACGTTGTTTTTGTTTCACGCTACTACTTCGAAGCGACCATTCGTTGCGATCTTATCGTAGGATTCCTTCTTTTCTTCCTTTGCCGCTCTTTACATTCCAAATTTTATATTTTACTTGAATAGAAAACTTTTAGCAAAAATCTTCGATATTAAATCGTCCTACACATTCGTGTCGTGATGCTAATACATATACGTGATATCTTCATATAGTTTACACATCTAATTTATATATCTAATATAGTTTATGAACACAGTGATAAGTAGGCTGCGGTAGACTGCAAAGATAAAGAGACACGTTTCATCTACTAAATATTAGATACAATAAATATATTAGCCATGTTAAAGTATACTTGATAAAATTTCAAATTCGATTTTTCTCGAAAACTAAATCTTAAACGAACAAATTTTATTCCATATTTTGTCGCACCCTGTATATAATTCTTAATTATGTGTATCACGTCAAAAGTAAAAAACGTTTTCTTTTATGATTTCAGTTGCAGTTCATAATCATGATATGTCATATGTTCCAAACTTTGTTACCTACTTGCGAGCCAAATCGGAAACCAATAGCTTATATCTACATGTCGCAGATTCTTGTCATGTTTTGCATGTTTTGCGATTATTACAAGAAATCATATCTGCGAAAAAAGACGGAATAGAGATTTAGAGTGACACAAAAGTTGGGGTAAGTTACGATATATCGTATAATACGTATTTCTTTTTTCTTTCTAAACAGAATTATTCCTCCATTAAAATTTTTTGCATCAACAAACTATCGAGCATTTACATAAATTTCTCAAATTGTATCATTTACAAATTTTATATATCTGTCTTAATACAACAATATATTTTAGAGAATTGTATTCATTGCTGAAAATAATTGGTTTTAATAGGATCGTTTCAGTAATTATACAGGAATACCGTTTCAATCGAATATTCTTAGTCAACCAGAAACATATTTACATTATTCAGCCTTTGTTTCACGTGCCTGTATTACGACTCAATTAAGCATAGAATTATAATTATTCGAAAATGATATTCCAATCGTTATTATGGCAATAAATTTTCACCAAATTTGCCAATTATTACTCCATATATCGATTATCCTGTAACTCTTACAATTATTTCATTACCACCAATGTATCGATTACGGTGTTTTAATTTTACTAGAGTATCAATTTGATATCAATTAATCGCCACAATAAATTCATACGCATGTACCATAATGACCATTTCATTTGAATAGCTGCCTTTTATGCCGGCAGGTGATTTCGGATTACACGCTGCTCGAATGCTTCCTTCAAAATCGTAGAATTCATCATCGAAGAGGCGTCTCTGCATAAACATAATTTCATGGAAAATTAAAATGAAACAATCACGGACGATTACGTTTGATATACCGCACTGGTGGAACGTATTAGACAGAATATATTAGCATAGGATACGATATAAGATCAAAATTCTTTCTCTTAAATGTTGCTTTACAAATATGTATACTGCTTACTGCGAAAATGCTTAATTATCATCAAAATTAATATTTTAAATCGTACGTATTTTAAATGAATCTTTCAATATATCGAATTTTTTTTTGAAGAGGTTTAATGAAATATGTAGACACAAAGAATTTAAAATATACAAAATTTTTAATAATCACTTATGCCAATTGTTATAATTAGTCAAACATAGATGGATTTTACTAGTAGTATGCAGTTTTTCAATAAAAAAATGAACGATATCTAAACATTTTATTTTTGCTTCCACTTGATGAAGGGCGAGCAAGTAGACACGTCGAAAAGTAAATTATCTAACTAGTTGTTAAATGTATGATTCGAGTATATACACGGATTTTTAATTACGTTTTTCGTTTTCAAAAACAACGAACTAAATACAGAACGTGTATGGAAGGATTTGTGTTTATAATATTGTTGGGTACAAAGAGATTGATATAAACGACACTGCTCGGCTTTGTTAGAAATAAAATTACTTATGGATGTTTCAATTAATTAAAGCTTAATTATTTGACATTATTTTTAAACGAACAGACACACCAAAAAATTGATCAAGGTATGGGAAGTTTCCATCAACTTATATTAAAGTGTAAGACAAAGATAGGACGTAGATGAGCAAGTAGGGACAGACTACCAATTGTCAGACGTAACCTGTAATCAAATAACGAGAGCTATAACTTCTGAAGTTTTAACAAGTCTAACGAGTTGAACGCATGTTTCGATTAAAAGTTACTTAACTTAATAAGAAAATATAAAATTTCTCGGAAACAATATCATGTAAATTGCTCAAATAACTTTTAATTCATTCCTTCGGGAAATAGAAACTTTTCTTTATCCCTTGCAGTAATTCAACTACTTCTCCATGCCACTAGAAAGTTTAACGAATGGCCCAGTATTACTAACGCAGTGTTATCAATCAACTTTTAATAAGCAACTTTCGTAATCGTATGTGAAAATTGAAACTATGATATAATTTTTTATATTATTTCTTAATCATTATTGAGTCTTAAAGGCTATGTAAATTTTCTTTTAGCATTATCGTCCCATTGTAAGACTATAGCGATGTTATTTGTAATTATCCCAAATAATACCACTCTTTACTATTTCGTTTAATACTGAATAATAATGAAACACTTGTATTTGTTGATTTTATTGGTTTTCACGATTAAAAAACAGCACTGAAGTGAAATTTCGTTCATGATATCATAAACGTGATTTCCTTTAACAACAGCCTTTAAAAGTTAATATTAATTACCTATAAATACATTAACAAATAAATCGACGGTATAATATTTTGATAATGACAATTTATTAATAATAATTAAGAAATAATATAGACACAAGACTATGTAATAACATATTTCCAATAATTACTTTTTTCAAACTTGTTTTTCGCTAACTAATTGTATTTTTTCCTTTTTTTTTTAATCATTACGATGAACCATTAACGATCAATGTATAATTTCAGTTAAAAAAGTGAAGATGACCTTAAAATCTCCGAAACTGCTCCAGATGTGAAAATATTATTACTGCCATATTAATTCCCTCTATACTGAACAACTTTTATTAATATACAACTTTTATCTCGAAAAACAACGTAGATATTCATGTGTCGATTCTTATTCTATCACCCTGTATATCTCTTTTCGTGAAAAGTTATACGCATCGCTCTCGTATACGGCTGCGTTCCCTCTGATGGACACGCGTGTTTAAGGGGATGGTATTACAGCCGTCGTTTTCCTGTTCGACCAAAATTAGCATAGAGGATTAGCGCGTCTGTGGCTTAAAGTCGACACGCATGGTTGCACGCCGATAAGAGTTTATTAACGCCGGCTGTGTTTATCTTGCAATTTTGACCGGCCCGAAACCCTATATCCTACCCTCGACTTTCTCTCACCAGATTTAGGGTAAGCTGATTCAGTATCCCGTGTTAGAAACGATTATAAAAATCAAATTTATTAAAGGCGATGGACTATTTCGATCAACAATTTCTTTGATAGTGGATAAAGAATAATAGGTAGAAAGTTGACAGCAATGAAAATTGAATTCCATAAAGATCATTTTGACTTGTTTCTATCTGCATAAAAATGGATCAACTATTCGTATCCATTTATAACATGCATTAGTAATCCATTTCGTGCAATTTTTTTTTTTTAGCCATAAGTAAACGTTCGATGTAGTATGAAATCGGGCGATATTGTAGGTCTAACAAAAAGTTCGAGTATTATTCTCTTCATATTTTCTATTTTCCTTTTTTCTAGCTTTTTAATAAAACTCTAAATATACCGGCCATTAAAATCTTTTACGGAAATAGAACTGCACAATATTTCGAAATTTTCAACAAAGTTATATTAAATGAAATATACTAAATTAAATAATTTCTTTAGGAAACTAATCGAATAAATTGCTTTATAAATAAAAGCGGAAAGAACGATGTCATACAGCATAAGCAAAATTACGTTTTTTTTTTTCATTCTATTCCACTTTGTAATGTTTTAACAGAGAATCGCTATTCCTTTTACTGAATTAATAATATCAAAGAACCGCGAATGCATTACTTTTGCTGTGAAGTATTAAACGCGGGTGCGTGCGTCCTTCGTGGTGGCATGCAATACTTATAACTATGAAAGAGAAAGGGGCAAATCCTTTCGTCTGAAATGTGTGACCGCGCAACCAGCTACCTCGCCTTTACTCCATGAATTTATTTTTTAGACCTCGTGAGGTTTGTTCATGTCCGACATTGTGAAGCTTTTGTCGTGCCACAACTTCTGCGATTTGCAAATTTCAAGCAGTCACAGGAACTATCCTCTTTTCTACGGAAAATATTGGCGAGTTCCGTATAGCGAGCTGACGTCGAGGAATAGTTTTATAATTTTTGAATTTTTGTTATAAATACTCAACGCATAGATATAAGACATTCTGTATATCTTTATATTCACACGAATATGAACATCACGGAAGGAAAACACGATGAGTATATCTTTGTTGATTCTCTGAATTTAATGTAATCGTATGATTAAACAAGAGGAGAATTTTTATTTAATATAATTAGAAATGAAAACAATTCGTTGGATTCAAATAGATGGAAGATTGACAAGATTTTGTATTATATTTATTCAGAAAGTTCCCCATTTTGTCTTTCATTACGAATGACAGTATCCATTCCTCTTTTTGATATGCTTTTAACCGTTTCCAAATGCTTCATTTTTATTGCGTTTGAATGACGACGGAAAATCTGCACGGTTCTCATTTTCCAAAAAACTAAACACAAAATCTGGGTAGACCTCCTCATTGTTGCTTCAGCCAAGTCTCTCGATCATTACGGTGTTTTTTCATTTGGAAACAGAAGCTTGCTAGTTTAATGTCAGTTAGCTGTTCGCGTCGTGTAATTTCTGTGCCATTTTAATATTTAAAAATCACCGTGATTATAAGAGAAACGACGAACTAGTAGAAATTTTCGCTTCAAATTAAAAAATTCAGCTTACAGATTTTTCTTCGTAATGTATAACATTTATACACAAATATATATTATATATAAATGTGTATTTATAGTAAAAGTTTAATGTTGGTGATGGCAAACTGTTGTTATACAATTTGTAATGCCGAAAAGGATAGACCATGCTTTTTACAAAATGTTTCAAATTTAAATATTTAAAATTGTTCCACCGTTAAAACTATCAATAGCCGCTACATAGAACTTGTACTAAGTCAAAATGGAAGATAAGTATATACATGCATGAACAAATATATAATGCAAGGGAAAAATAAATCTTTATCGACGCATATATTTTGCAAAAAATCATTTAAATCCTCCAAAATGTATAGAATAAAAAACAAAGTATAGAATTTACAAGGATACACGATTATGGAAGCTTTATTTACGTTTTTTTTTTTTCAAAAAATAATCTTCTTGATCCTCGTTCATACTATTCTAGAAAATGATAACCAATCTTCGTATTTTATAAAATTAATATCTATTCATTTTTACGGACACGCTACATATTTTAGTTCGCAGGTGTTGCTCGTTCCTGCAGTTACAAACTTATGTATGTATATACATATATGGCTGAAATAAGTAATATGCCATTTATTTTCTGGGTGTGACGTCACCCACCCAAGTGACCTCCGCTTCTTTTCAGGCATTCGCATCTGCTATGCGCTTTATGCATGAGATGCAGTATATTTTTAGGAATATTACAAATTTCTAAGTTCTTCTACGTCAAGTGAGCAAGTTATACTTTATAATTTCATAGTTTTCCCATTTGTTTTTATAAAACCGAGAATCTATCGTCGAAAACACGATTTCACAAGCTTTAGATTCCAGAAATATTTCACGTTCGCGTTAAATCTTCGTATCATCGATTAGCCGTTCTTTCGTTAAAAGTATCATTACCATAAGCATCATCGTTTTTCACTTCCATTTTTCACAGAATATAAATCATCCAGCCATGAGACCAGCTGCCGTGCAATTGCATCCCGCAGTCTAGAAACGGCGTCATTTTTTATCGTTCGAAAATTTTAATTTTCTTTTCGGACTCTCATTACTGGCGGGACGCGCGTGGTCGTGATTCTTTTGCAGCGGCGCCAATATCGCGAAATTTATAAGACAGTGTGCCGCTACCATATTGCGGGGCCACACTGTGCGACGTAACTGCTTGCTTAAATACCGACCAAACGCATACATACGTCTGGCGGATACAACGAGTCAGAGCGCGGCCAACTTCCGGTCCTTTGGCACGATACGACGATTCGAAAGCTCGTTCGAATCGCCCGCCGTAATCGTATATCTCTTACCGTGCCAGGCCGCCACTTCCACTCTTGGATAATTATGGCACACCCCATGAAACAGGCTTTCGTTGTCAAGGAAAGAATATATTAAATATAATATATTCCTTTGTTGTTTATAGCGCTGTTTCTTTCGCACGGCGATTACTCTACCGTCTCGAATTTAGAAGTACAGTACCGCGCAAAAGTATATGAATGTTTGATTAATTTTCACAGAAGATAATCTACTTGCAAGATTACAAACAGGAAGATTCAGGACGGGTTTATTCTCCATTAGCGTCGTCGTGAAATATCATTACATTAAATTTAGCTCGATAACACTTGATACAAATATTTTTACGTATCTTTAAAAGTTAATATCCTATAAAAAAAAATAGCATAATCATGACAGTCGAGCGGAATTATAGTACTAGTGAAATTTCCAAATGTTTCC